CCCATTTGTACTTGACTCTTTTCCCTTGGCCTTTGTTCTGTGGGGTTCCTTAGAGTTCCATTCTGTCCCCCAATTTGTTTAAACAATTGGGAGATTTATCAGGGGTTTTGGGCTTCAATACCATCAGTATGCAAATGGCACCCAATGAATGGACTGAGTGAGAACGAACAAACTGAAATTTAAACCAGACAAGACAAAGGTGCTCCTGGCCAATTTGAAGGTGGAAAGGGAAAATGGAATTCAGCCTGTGCTGGATGGGGTTACATTCACCTTGGAGATGCAGGCTCACAGCTTGGGCATTCTCCTGGATTCAACCCTAAGCCTGGAAGCTCAGGTTTCCGCAGTGGCCAGAAGTGCACTTATACAGAGAAGGCTTGCACGCCACCTGTGCCCATTCCTAGAAACATATGACCCGGCTGTAGTGACACATACCTTAGTTGCATCCCATTTGGATCACTATAACACATTTCATGTGGGGCTGCCTTTGAAGAATGACACAGGCTAGTTATAGGGTAAAACAGCTCCCATTGGATACCAGACTATTTCAGGCACAAAGCATTGGTTATGACTTATGAAGCCTAGTCTATCTTGGGTACAGGTGATCTGAAGGACTACATTCTCCTGTATGAGACTGTCTGTGACTTGAGATTGTCAAAGGAGGCCTTTATGTCTTAACCAGATTCACAGGTAAATTTGATGAGAAAATAGGCCTTCTTGATGGCTGCTCCCAGGCTTCGAACTCCATTCTTAGGAATTCTAGACTGGTGCTTTCTATGGTGGCTTTCCAGACAGACCTTTGGGAACTAACTGCTCATGGGAAAGGGGCTTTTAAGTAATGTGCTATATTGTATTGTCGAAGGCTTTCATGGCTGAAATCACTGGGGTGTTGTGTGGTTTCCGAACTGTATGGCCGTGTTCTAGCAGCATTTCCTCTTGATGTTTCACCTGCATCCATGGCTGGCATCTTCAGAGGATCCTGAATGAGAAAATGCTTCTAGAACATGGCCATAAAGCACAGAAACCACACAACACCCCAATGTGTTATATTGTCTTTGTTTTTTTAATGGATTTGTTTTTAAATTCCTTTTAATTATAATTATTTGTGCCTTGGACCACAAGAAGATCCAACCAGTCCATATCCAGGAAATAAAGCCCAACTGCTCATTAGAGGGAAGGTATTAGAGGCAAAGAAGTACTTTGGACACATCACGAGGAGACAGGAAAGCTTAGAGAAGACAATGATGCTGGGGAAAATGGAAGGAAAAAGGAAGAGGAGTTGATCAAGGGCAAGATGGATGGATGGCATCCTTAAAGTGACTGGCTTGACTCGGAAGGAGCTGGAGGTGGTGATGGTCGACAGGGAGCTCTGGCATGGGCTGGTCAAGAGTCGGAAGCGACTAAACAAATAAACAACAAATATAATTATATTTTAAGTTATGTTGCTGGAATGATGTGGACTTTTATTTGCACCTTTTTCAACTTTGTAAGCTGCCTACAATCCTAAGACTGGAGAAAAGGTAGATTTATATTATGATACTTGCCCAAGGCTATAGTAATATGAAAACAGTGCCTGTGTCAGGTTCAACCAAATACATTTTTCTGTCTGAAGTAGGACGAGAAATTGCACTCCCTCTCCTCCCCAAATCACGGAGAAGTAAAAATACAATCATAGAAAAGTGTTAAGTAATTGGTGTCCTTTCATGACACCCCACATCCGCCGCCCAAGGTGATGAATAGTAGTCCAGCCATAGTAAGTATGTATGCATTACATGTTAGTGGTTGCAAAATCTTCCTTACGAGAGGTTTGAGATTCTCCTCAGAGTGCAAAACCACAGACACCTTGGAGAGGTCGGAAGCAAAGTCATCCCAGGGCAAGTACTCCTTTCGCAAGCCATGCCTGCTCTTCTCAGCTGTCAGAAAGGACGATGGAGACAGTAAGGGTTGGAGGAGGTGCAAGTCCAGGAGGGATGTGAGTCCAGAGGTTTCCTACATTCCTTGCCAAGAATCTTGACTGGCACTTGAACTCCGGGTCACAGACTTCGGGAAACAGCTGGCTAGATCCCTCGCTCGGCTTTTTGAGAAGAGAGAAAAAGAGAGAAGGGAAGGGAAGGAATTTCTTCAGCTAGCCCTTTGTTCTCAGCAACTGGAGGCTCCACTATTTAGGAACAGGAGCCAGAAGGATTAGCAGTGGAGGGGACAGCAATCATGTCACCCCGGCTCAGCTGGCTTGTATGACAAGGACAGTTTGTACACAGAGATACAAGGAGACAGTAGTGATGACAGGAACAGGTGGTCAGGAAAAACAAAAGTGGACAGTCAAAAATGAGGAGGAGGGAGAGGAGGCGAGAAAGCTGATCTTATTTTTACAAGGTACAGAGGCGGCCTTTCCTAGGCAGGCCAATGTGCAGTGTCTATGTGTACAACATGTACCAATAATAACCACCCCCTACAGCACCCAGCCAATTTCTAATTAACTCCCTGTCCGTGCCAATAGTCTATTCCTGTAAGATGTGTGAGCATGAAAAGTAACCTAACCTGCATATATTGACACATTTTGCTGAATTTATTCAGCTTCTGCCAATGACTTGAGGGAGTTTAAACAGGAATTCCCATTATCAGCCTCCCCTTGGACTTTTGAGATTTCTTTAAACCTGTGTTTACCCACTTCACTGGGGCTAGAAACTTTCTTAAGTTGTTAATAATAATAATAATAATAATAATAATAATAATCCTTTATTTGTACCCCGCCCCGGTGGCGCAGTGGGTTAAAGCACTGAGCTGCTGAGCTTGTTGATCGAAAGGTCGCAGGTTCAATTCCGGGGAGCGGCGTGAGCTTCCGCTGTTAGCCCT